CGGGCTCGACTGCGGCCCCTCGGGCAGGCCGCCTCGGGAGAGCGCAGCTGGCGACCGTGGTTACGAGGGACGCAGCGCCGCAGCGCCGGCCCGGGTTTGAGTCCGCCCTGCCGGGGCCAGCGCCTGACCTTGGACGTTAGCCTCTGGCCTCCCCGCCTGCACCGGAGCTGATCGCGGAGGTACGCGCCGGCGCGGAGGGTGCGGGGCGCGGCGCGGCCCCGGCGGTGATTACGCCTGCCCCGGGTCCCGTCTCTGGTGCTGCGCTTAACCCCACCTGCGGTCCGGCACACACCCGCCGCTCCTGGCTACTTTGTTCTCGTTCCCTGTTCCTAGTTTCTTTTTTTTGGTCTTTTTGAGACAGGGTCTCGCTATGCAGTTCAGGCTGGCCTTGAGCTCACTTTGTAGCCCAGGCTGGCCTCGAACTCGCAATGATCCTCCTGCCTCAGCCTGCGGAGTGCTGGGATTACAGGCGTGCGCCACCACGCCCGGTCGTGTTCCTAGTTTCAATGGTTGCCTCCGCCAAGAGCTCTGTTCTGACTTGTGCCCTCAGAGTAGGTGTCCTTATGCTCCCCCTGGATTCCCCTTTCTGTGTGTTTGACCCCATCGCAGTTTCCACCATTTGTGATTATTTTGATTGTCTATATATTTACTTGTTGAATGCTGATCTCCTCATGGGACGATTAGCCTTAGTGTAGACACCCCGTTTTTCTGTGGGTGTCCCCGTTCCTAGGTCAGGGCCTGCACCTCACAGGTGCTTCATAAACCCGCCGGCCTAAGGGTGAGTAGCGCTGCGTGGTACTCGCCGCCCCCCGCGCCCATGAGATAAGTGAATTCCACAGAGTCTGTCACAGTAGGGACTCGCCCACCGGTAGCTGCCGTTGTTATTAACCCACACTCCGACCTGTGAGTTGGGGACTGTATTTACCCCCATTTTCCAGAGGGGAAGACGGACAGGTTGGGACACTGGCTTGGGTCACACAGCCAAGGAACCAGAGCTGGTTTCTAACTCTTCAGGACTGAGGTCTGGCCGGGGCTGGAGTACGCCCGGCTTGGGGACCAGGGGTGACCCCTGGACCTGGTTCTCTGGGTTTGAGCCCAGCCCAGACTAAGGGCAGAAGGATGAGGTGCGCCCCCTGGCGGCCAGCGCTGGAATGCGGGCCCAGCGTCACACGCAGTCCTCCCCGCCTGCCCTCCCCTTCCCCAGCTCCCGTGGCCCCCTGCACAACCTCTTTCTGTAGGGTTACCTGCCCTGTTCTTCATCTCACAGATCAAAAAAGAGGAGCCACCCCCAGCCACACACTATGACCCATCAGATTTGCAAAGCCCGGCTGAGGTGGCGAATGCCTAGAATTCTAGCACTCAGGAGGCTGAGGCAGGAGGGTCCCGAGATGAAGCCCAGCCTGGGCTATCTAGTAAAGACTTTATCTGGAAAAGAAAAACAAATAAAGAACAAAAACCACGTCAGTCCCACGGCTGGGGGGTATAGCGCAGTGGTAGAGTGCTTGCCCGGCGTGTGTGGGGCACTGGGTTTGATCACCACCACCACAAAAACAAATTTGTTTATTTATTTGCCTTTCTGACAGGGTCTCGCTATGCAGTTCAGGCTGGCCTTGAGCTCACTTTAAAGCCCAGACTGGTCTCGAACTCGCAATGATCCTCCTGCCTCAGCCTCCCAAGTGCTGGGATTACAGGTATGCCCCACCATGCCTGGCTGCAAAAACAAATTTTAAAAAATACCCCAAGTCCCTACCACCAGCCACAAAACTAGCCATTTATTAAATTTAATGAGAGGATTAAACTTTTGAATTAAACATTACCAGACATTTGATTTTACTAAACAATTATTAATCTGATAATATTAATATGATAATGGTATTGTGATTATTACATTTAAAAATAGCATAATTGAGGTATAATTTACATAAAATCACTGCACTTTAAGTGCAGAATTCAATGTGTTTGGATAAATGTATAGAGTTGTGAAACCATGTGGCTACAGTTTTGTTTTGAGAGAGGGTCTCTCTAAATTATTGAGTTGCCCAAGGATGGCCTCAAACTTTTTTGACTTTGTTTTGGTACCAGGAATCAAACTCAGGACCTTGCACTTGCCGGGCAGGCACTTGTGCCGTTGAGCTACATCCCCAGCTCATACTTGAGATCCTCCTGCCTCAGCCTCCCAGAGTGCTGGGATGCAGGCCTGTGCCACCACACCCAGCCTCATGTGACTACATTTTTAAAAAAAGTCCTTTGTATTTATCTATTTATTGGTACCAGGAATCAAACTCAGGACCTTGGGCTTGCCAGGCAGGCACTGCGCTGCTGAGATATATCCCCGGCCCATTCTTTGCTCTTTGAGATGTGTGTAGACACATTTATAGGTGTAATAATAAGGAGGAAAATATACTAATGATAAAAATGATAACAATGATAATGGAAAAACCCAGTCACACAGGAAGGAAGGGGGACACAGACATGGGTGAAACCAGTTAGACCAGGAGATGACAAGCGATTGCTGAAGCCAGATGGTGGCTAGCTGGGTCCCTGCTGGCTGGTTCCATGGGTCCCCATGCCTTTGGCGTGCTTACATTTTTACAAGACAACAATTTTAGGTTTTTTTCCTGGGCTAGATGTGGTGGTCTACACACTTGTAATCCCAGCTACTTGGGAGGCTGAGGCAAGAGGATCACAAGTTTAAGGCCAGTTTGGGCAATTCATGGAGAGACTCTGGCTCAACATGAAAAAACAGTTGGGTGTGGCAGCACACACCTGTAATCCCAGCACTCGGGGAGGCTGAGGCAGGAGAATTGCCACGAGCTCGGCCAATGGAGCTTCGGCCTTCTCCAATCCTGGGCCCGTACTTTGCACCTGCTGCACATAGTAGGTGCTCAACCCATGCGTTTTGAGCGAGCGAGTGAATGATGATTGAATGGTGAATGACCAAATTCCCTCCCTTGGTCATGTTCTACCTCCCTAGCCCGGTGCGCAGCTGCACTTACAGACGGAAGGGCACCCAGTCCCGCCCTCCTTGTGCAGATGGGGAAACCGAGGCCGAGGGAGGGGCGGAATCGCATGAGGTCTCTGCTGGGGCCTCCGGACTGGAGCGGCCTGGGCCGCGACCTTCGTGTTCCCGCAGCTGTCGCCATGGAGGGGGCGCAGGGCGAGCGATTCCACACGGTCAGCCCCCTGCTGCGGAGCTGGGCGCTGTCCCAGGTGGCCGGCACCACCGTGTTCCTCAAGTGCGAGAACGTGCAGCCCAGCGGCTCCTTCAAGATCCGCGGCATCGGGCACTTCTGCCAGGAGGTGAGGGCGCGGGTGGCCGGCTAGGCTGTGGGGCAGGGTGGCCGGTGCGGATGAGCCCCAGCTCCGCCCTTCTCTCCCCAGATGGCCCGGAAGGGGTGCCGACACCTGGTGTGCTCCTCAGGTGACCCCCTTTCTGCTTCCTGGGGTTCCCCTAGCAGGGGTGGGGGCAGAGATGAGACGCTCCAGGCTTGGGCTTCTCTTGAAGAGCCGGCCACAGCAAGGCCACAGTCTCAGATGGCCGCTGTGCACGTCCTGTTCTAGCCTGTTCCCCCCACCCAAGATTCACGGTGGCAGCACGTGACAGAAACTGAATTCGTGCAGGTTTAAGCTACAGGCCTCAAACATAGACAGTTCCCACGAAACGTGGCTTTCAGGCATGGCTGGATCCAGGAGGTCTCTCCCGTATGTCTCCTGTGTTTTTCCCCCCTGGACTAGTTTTATTCTTATATAGGCTTCATGGTAGCCAGATGTCAGCCAGGAGTCCCGGGCTGTGTCCTGCCATGCCACCAAATCTAAGGACAGCGCTGTTCCCCTCCGCCCTTGAATCCATCAATCGCAGTCTTCAGGTTAAGCTCTCTGATTGGCTCAGTGTCAGTCACGTGACCTGTGGGTGGAGTCAAAGGGGGCATAAGAGTGATTGGCAGGGACCGGTAAGAGTTGGGGGCAGAGTCTGCGCTCGCCTTCACCTTGTTCCTGCTCCCCAGGGGGCAACGCGGGCATCGCTGCTGCCTACAGCGCCCGGAGGCTGGGCCTCCCAGCCACCATCGTGCTGCCCGAGGCCACCTCCCAGCAGGTGGTGAGGAGGCTGCAGGGCGAGGGCGCCGAGGTGCAGCTGAGTGGAAAGGTACGGCCAGAGGGCGGGGACTGGCTGACTGGGCGGCACCCTGGGGACTCTGCTCCTGCCCTCAGGGGAACGAGGCCAGGACCCGCTCTGCTCTCAGGGCGCAGCTGAGGGTGGGCGCGGGCTGGGACCACCCCATTTGCTTGTCCCATGGAACCTGGGAGACACAGGACACTGGCGACCAGCAGGAGCGTGTCCCCTCCGTCCTCCTGGACACTGGTATGAGCCCCTTACAAGAAACAGGAGGGCTGGGCATGGGGGTGCACGCCAGCGATCCCAGCACTCAGGAGGCTGAGGCAAGCAAGACCCTGTCTCCAAAAAAAAAAAAAAAAAAAAAAAAAAAGTCCGAAGATGGTGTCTGCACCGTCTCTCACGCTGGGGCTCCCCCTGTGTAACAGAGGCCAGGGCTAACGGTGGCACTGACCCACAGTCACCAAGGAAGCAGAGATCTGGTGCCTTTGCACATCCAGGGAGAGGAAAATCATCTTTAAGGAATGGAGAATGTTTGAAACCCTCAGAATTAAACTAGAAGCCATAGGATGGCACCAAGGGCTGCCTGCAGATCCTGACCGTGCACATTTCTCCTTCTCTCCTCCCCTTTTTCCTTCCTCCCCCTCTTCATCTCTCTAACCGTCCTCCCATCCAATAGCTTTTCCATCTCTCCCGTTCTTGCTCCTTCCATCTATCCGCTCACCCATCCATTTGCTCATCCATCCATCCATCCACCCTCTCATCCATCCATCCATCCATCCATCTGCTCATCCATCTGCTCATCCATCTGCTCATCCATCCGCTCATCTGTCCATCCATCCATCCATCCATCCATCCATCCATCCATCCATCCATCATCCATCCATCCATCCATCTATCCATCCATCCATCCTCCCATCCATCCTCCCATCCATCCTCCCATCCACCTGCTCATCCATCTGTCCATCCATCCATCCATCCATCCATCATCCATCCATCCATCTATCCATCCATCCATCCTCCCATCCGTCCTCCCATCCATCCATCCATCCATCCATCTGCTCATCTGTCCATCCATCTGTTCATCCATCCATCATCCATCCATCCACCCATCCATCCATCCATCCATCCATCCTCCCATCCATCCTCCCATCCACCTGCTCATCCATCCATCCATCCATCCATCCATCCATCCATCCATCCATCCATCCCTCCGCTCACCTGTCCATCTGTCTGTCCGTAGACCTGTCACCCCTGAATCCATCTCTATACGCCCATCACTCATTGCATGTTAATCCTCGCCCATCCTTTATCCGTCCCCCACCACGCATCATCCCACTGTCCATCTGTCTCTGTCAACCGTTACTTCATATTGATCCATTGTCCACCCATTACCCATTGCCCACTTGTCCATTTATTCTCCATCCATCCCTCCTGTGCCTGACTCGGGGAAGGGACCCGGGCAAGCCCTCCAGGAAGGCTCTCCCAGCTGGGTTTTGAAGGAGAATGTGAATCCTCCCAGCAGGGAGGAGGAGAAGGAGAGGGAGGAGAGAGCAGGAAGGGAGGGACATGGGCTGGGGTGTGGTGTGTGTGAACATGGGTTGGATTGTTCGTCCTCAGCCTGGGGGCAGTGGGGAGCCATGGGAGGAGTTTGAGCATGGGAGGCACTGGCTAGGTTTTCCCTCTGCTTGTTCCAAGATGAAGGACAGGGTGTGGGTGAGTGAGAGGTTATGAGCTGCACACTTTGGAATTTAGTTTGTCTTTCTTTTCTTTTCTCTTTTCTTTTTCTTTGTGTTTTGAGATGGGGTCTTGCTATGTAGTACAGGCTGGCCTTGAGCTCACTATGTAGCCCAGGCTGGCCTTGAACTCAGGGCAATCCTCCTGCTTCAGCCTCCCAAGTGTTGGGATCACAGGTGTGCACCACCACGCCTGGCTATGGTTGCTGGTCTTCATGAACACGGTTTGTAGTGACCTCTTGGGGGAGATGCTTGTCCCCTGCTGATGGGCTAGAAGTGTGCAGGGGGTCCTTGGTGATCAGGACAGCACGTGGCAGCCCTCCGTCTGGATCTGCCCCTGTCCGGGGGCTGCTGGGCTCACACAGGTCTGGCCTCGGCCTGGGGGTGACCTGGAGCCCCCACCTGCACCCGATCCCCACAGAGCCCGGCTCCCGGGTGCTCTGAGTGCCTCGCTTCTCTTCAGGTCTGGGACGAGGCCAGCCTCCAGGCGCAGGAGCTGGCGCGGAGGGACGGCTGGGTGAACGTCCCCCCATTCGACCACCCTCTGATCTGGTAAGGTTGGGGGCCTCGCTGAGGCCCTGGGGGGTAAGAGGCTTCAAAGCCAGACAGGCAGGAGTTCAGGCCCCACTGCCACCACTTGGGAAGGATGGGGCTTCTGTGCCTCAGTCTCCCCATGTGTCACGGAGGGGGCGATAACACCAGGTCCCTTTATGGACTGTGTACCTCAGGCCCAGGCGCAGGCTGAAGGCCTCCAGGCACTGCTGTGTCGATTCTCCCCGGGGGCCTGGCGCTGGGGGTCCCTGCACCCAGTTTAGCGATGAGAGGAGGGTGCCCAGCGAGGCCAAGTGACTTGCCCAAGCTTGCAGAGCATGCAGGCTGCCGAGTCGCAGGTCCCCTCCCCCGCATGTCAGCGAGGTGGTTCTGAGTGGCATGGGAACCCCACGTATTGACATCACGTCTCTGCAGTTGTCGGGCTCAGTGGGCTAAGGCCCAGGAAGCCCCTGGGGGTCGGGGCCGAATGAATGAACAGAAGGAGACGGAAACCTCACCACCTCCTCCCCAGGGAAGGCCACGCCAGCCTGGTGCATGAGCTGCAGGCCGCCCTGGGGGCCCCGCCGGGAGCCGTGGTGCTGGCCGTGGGCGGCGGGGGGCTCCTGGCCGGGGTAGCAGCCGGCCTGCTGGAGGTGGGCTGGCAGCACGTGCCCATCGTCGCCATGGAGACCCGAGGGGCGCACAGTTTCCACGCGGCGCTGGAGGCGGGCAAGCCGGTCACGCTGCCGGACATCACCAGGTGGGCGGGGTCGGGGGTGGGGGTGCGCTCTCAGTCTCAGCCCACGGGGGCGGGGCCGCCCAGAAGGGTCCCCCTGTCCCTGGAGTTCCAGCCCCTGTGACGAGGATCTCACTGAGAAGCACAGACTTCTGAGGTAGATGAAGGGTCGCACTCGGTTCCACCTCTTCAATTAACAGAGCAGGCGTCCACGGGTCTGCGGCCGCGCAAACGCCATTTGTGTGTGTGTCAGAGAAGTTAGAGAAATGTAGACAAGCAATATGCAAGCGCAAAACGGAAAGTCCTCCCAGAATTCCCAGAGGCTGAGGCAGGAGGATCGCAAGTTTGAGCCCAGCCCTGGCAACTTAGAGACTCAGCCAGACTGTCTCAAAAATAATAGATTAAAAGGGTTGGGGATGTAGCTCAGTGCAAAGACCTGGGTTCAATCCTTAGTACCGCAAAACAAACAAAAAGTCAGAATGTCACCCTCCTTCCATCCTCGAAAGCTGAGCACCACTCTGACCAGGGCTGCATTTTTCCCAGCCTGTTTGACCCCCTGTGCACAGTTACAGAGAAGTGGAGAAAAAAAAAAAAAATCTGTTTGGCACATAGTAGGTACACAACAAAAGTGTGGAATGAATGAGTTTTCTTTTTTTTTTTTTTT